GCCCTTGGGCCACAACAACTCCTGGCAGTGCTACAGCCTTGGGGAGGAGTGGCTAGAGAGCTGCCAGTCAGAGAGGGACCTGGGGGGGTGGGTTGGTTGATTGATTGATTGATTGATTGACAATGAGCCAGCAGTGTGCCCAGAGGGCTGAGGAAGGCAATGGCATCCTGGCTGGTGTCAGCACTGGCGTGGCCAGCAGGGACAGGGAAGGGATCTGAGCCCTGGGCTCGGCACTGGGGAGGCCGCCCCTCGATTCCTGGGTTCAGTGTTGGGCCCCTCACCCCAAAAAGGCCATTGAATGACTCGAGCGTGGCCAGAGAAGGGCAACGGAGCTGGGGCAGGGTCTGGAGCACAGGTCTGCTGGGGAGCGGCTGGGGGAACTGGGGGGTTCAGTCTGGAGCAGAGGAGGCTGAGGGGAGACCTCCTGGCCCTCGGCAACTCCCTGCCAGGAGGGGCAGAGAGGGAGGATGAGTCTCTGGAGCCAAGGCCCCAGCGCCAGGCCCCGAGGAATGGCCTCAAGCTGCCCAGGGCAGGGTCAGGCTGGCTCTGAGGAAGGATTTCTGTGCAGAAGGGGCTGTTGGGCGTTGGAATGGGCTGCCCAGGGCAGGGGGGAATCCCCGGGATCCCTGGAGGGGTTGAAGAGTCGGGCTGAGCCAGCGCTGAGGGGTCTGGGGGAGTTGGGGACGGTCAGGGGGAGGTTTGTGGTTGGACTGGAGGAGCTTTAAGGGCTTTTTCAAGCGAGGTGTTTCTGTGATTCTGTGAAACATGCATGTAAAATGGTTTTGCTGTGCAGGTGGGGTTTGCTGTATTGTGTGTGCATGGATTCAACTAAATGTATTTCAGTATATGAATGAAACAGATGTACGTGTGAGGTACAGGAAGGTACTGGGGAGAAAGAGAGGGAAAGGTGCAAAGGATTTCAGGCAAAAGGAAAGGCTGCCCAGTATAAAATATCTGAGAACCACTGGTATTGATAATGGCAGACTGAATGAGTCAAATGCATTATGAGTAGTTTTCCTATTCCATAGTTAAAGAGATTATGCCTATTTATCTTAAATATCTAACATATGACAACTCTGTAAAGCCAGTTTAATAATGGAGTGCTCTAGTGACTCCTAAGTATTCCCATATTTGCAAGATCTGAGTTTCAGGAAGGCACAGGGTTTTGATGGATGAAGTGAAACAATTTTTTCAAGATAATTCAGGTAATCAGTTCACCACCAAAAAAAAAAAGGAAACATAACTCTTTAGCAGTTGGCAGCAGTTACATAAATAAATACAGCAATTTATGGAAATATGGTGGCATCTGCAATGATGAAAGTTAGACAGGAGACAAACGAGTGATACCGCTTCAAATGACACAGTGTAAAAGGAAGCCTACAAGGCTGCAGCAGGAAATTGTTTATCAAAATTAATTTAGAATGATTTTCATATGATTAAAATTACCTGATGAGACTTGTGTTCAATAAGTTAGGAAGTACTTAATGAATGTTGTATTCCATCAGGAATTATTAACAATTAACATATGAAAAGATGAAACACGAGATTCATAAGAAAGATGTGGATGGAGGCAAATAAGACTGCCCTCATAGCGGAGTTTTCATCTCTGGGTGTCTTCATCAAATGTCTGATCTTGTTTGTTTTGGCATAATATGTTTCGAATTTTAAGAATTAGACAGAAATGTCATTTGGACAAGTGAAGACTGACAGAAAGCTCATTAAAATGGATGGCAGTTTGCCTATCAATTTCAATGAGCTCTAAACCATGACCTCTGTAAAAAAACGCTCAGTTCAATCTCTTGTGAAAAATCTGGCAGATATCTGGCAGATACCTGGCAGATAAGTTTTGGTTTTTTCTTATGTTCACGTACAAGTTTGATTCTGCTCCAGCTGATTTCAATGGCAGTACTCTTAAGGGCTAAAAGGTTAAGCATAAGCTTATGTGCATCTGTGGATTAGGGATGCAATAATTTTGTTCAATATAAAAAGCAGTGTTTTAAGGTGAAAGCAGAAATACATCTCATCTCAGTGAGACATATAAAGGGGGAAATCATTATTAAACATCAATCAACAGGAGTTCTGCGTGCCACCAACCTCACTTGGGATATGATTTTGTTTTCGATTTCATACCTGCACAGATAAGTTGCTCGGTGCAAGAGAAGGCAAGTTATGGCCATTAATTTTTTTGAGAAGAAACTTCTGAGACAAAAAAATCTCAAAACATTACTTATACATGATCTTTCTTTAGTGTCAGAAAAAGTCTACTTTATCCAGAAATTGTTGACCTACATTTTATTATAAAAGTCAGATTTGATACTGAAATAAGTTTCTCCTAAACCAAATAGAAATGCCATTCTTCATCCCATAAACATCTCTTTTTATGTCTTGATCCAAAGACCTTAAAGTCAATGGAAAGACTCAGTCTTCGGTGCCAGATATTATGACTTGCAAGCCCATTGTTTTTCCAGAAGAAAGAAAAAAGTTTCAGTACTTGTTGCTTGGTTACAGCCCCTCCAGCCCTCTTGGAATTCCTGGGTTTATAACACCTTAGAAAACCAGACATATATAGTTTGCACTTCAATTATTTATGCGCTTAGTTGTTGATTCCTTTTTGTCTGGTAACCCTGATGAAATCTTTCACTAGCTCTGCTCTTCTTCTATCCAGGCTGTATTCTGTTGTGCTTGGCTTTTCCCTGTGAATGCTCTCCAAGTCCTACCAGTGGGAGTCAAATAGTTGACTGGAATCCTGAATAGGCAGGACAAAAAGAAATTTGTTGCCTAGGCAACTCAGCAAAATAACCAGTTAGTTTATGCAAGTGTGCCTGCTTATCTGCCTAAACACAGATGAGTATATGTGTTTCATATTGCATTCCTTTTCTAGTGCTTCCTATGAGTATCCATGCAGCTAATGAATTATTCAAAGAAATTCTGTCTCTCTGATTCATCCAACAGGAATCCATGAATTCCTGGATATAGCCAAACCAGGTAAAATCAATATAGAAATTAACTTTCTGCTATCACTCTGTTGTGGTGAAGTTTCTAGATCTGATTTGACTGGTGGCATCAACCTAATGGTTTGATATCACCAATAAGTATCAAACTAACAGTAGGTAAAGTAAGAATTTTACATAAAGAACATGAAATTACATCCACAAACTGATTTTTACAAACTGCTCTATCCCCGAATCAGAAAAATGTTATAATGGAGAAGTCATTTAAGTATTCTTTAACGATGATTAACACAATGTCGGATCAGAATGACTCAACCATTTAAACGCGTAGACTTTAAAGCCAGATTGTTCATCTAGTCTGATCTTAATGAAGTCAGTCTCTGTGAATCCTGTATGAATGCTGACCCTATTCACATTAACAGAATTTTTGCTGTTGACTACCACAGCGCCAGGATTTCATGGTCTGAGCATTTCAGTTATTTCTATATAAAAGGGGGAGGGATAATATTATTTCCTTTCTCCTACTCTTTGTCTGCTCTGTTCAATTAGACTACAAACTCTCCGGAGCAAACTCAGTACAACAGGGCCTCTTGTGGCCTACAGCGGTCATAATAATTGGAATTGTTTCCATCATTAATCAGATCTCAGGATGAGATGTATTCTGCCCAGTTCATGCATATTTCATATACCTGTAGGACATGTGGGGAAGCATCCGATCGGTGGAATGTAGATGGGAGAGACACGTGGTTGAGACTGATACCCACCCTGTATTATCCCTGCTCGGCCCTTTCAAAGACAAAATTACTGATCAAAATTGGATAAAGTAGAAAAAAAACCCAACTATTTCTTTATTGCAGGGAACATGCTGCTCATTTTCTTAGCAGAAGCACATTTTTATGGGAAGGTTGTAAATCTGAAAAATAGTGTTTATAATGGAAAGACCAACACCATTTTAAATATGTAATTTCACTGAAATAGCACATAGATAATTTTTCCTATGCTTTATGAGGAATACATTTGCCATAGAAGATCTGAAGCCCACTAGACTGTGATGTAGACCAATACCTTTCATTTTATATAGAGAGGAGAAATGGCAAGTAGAAAGGCCCCAAATTACAGTCTTGTTTAGTTTAGAAACTTTTTTGGTAGCTAAAGAAAAGATATGCTCAAGTTACTTGATGAAACTCATGGTCCTCCGCTCACCCTGTAATAATCTCTGTTTATTCCACCCAAAGTTTCTGAGAAACGCATGTGGAATGAGGACTTTGTTAAATTTCAGATAATGATCTGACAATTCAGCATTTGGAACTAGAAAATACCTTTGCATAGGAGCTGAAATTTTCTGATAAAAATTATGCTCCTGTGCTTTACTGGCACAGTGAAGTTTGCCAGCAGAATTTCTAAGAGAATGTTTTAGAGACTTCAGTCACTGTTGGAGAAAGAACATGCCTTGCTATACAGAAAGATTTTATAATGACCAGCCTTTACAATGATCAAGCAGAGAAAAGAAAAATCTGAAGGAAAGGGAGGATAGGGAATAATTTTTCTGTGAAGAAATTGAAAGGTAGGAAGTCTGAACCACAGAGGTTTGTGACTATATGGTATTTCCAGTTGAATATCGCTGGGCAGAGGGCTTTACTCTGTCCTTTTTTCCACATTGATCTTGATCTATTTATCCCCTCTTCTTTCAGCATGGAGCCTAGGAGCTCAATTGAAGGAGGAACTATGCTTGTGATGTGGGAGATGCAGATCAATAGGGCATGACTGACCGCTTTATTACAACCTTGCACAGCACAGCACTGAAACTTGGTTCCTGTAACTACTGTTGGACTTTAAAAGCCATCTGTAAGCTTCAGCAGGAACTAGCCAGAGCCCCTAACAATACTGGGCTGCTGCAGTTCCATCAGTGGCACGCTGCCAGTGTCTACACTCTGTCTGAGTGAACCGAATGAGCATTATATCAAACACATTTTGAAGTGAATAGCTTCACTATTCTATAGCTTTAACCTATAGCTTTAATGTTTTAAGAAAAATATAATATAAAAATAGACACAAAACTGACCTGTCAGTTCCCACCAAGAGAAGAGTCTCTTGTTTTCATTCTCAGATGCACACTTGAAGCAGGAAACCTGGAAGATTGTTTATAAAATGGCTGAGCACGTTCAAATGAGGCAAGGACATTCAACAGAGCGAAGAGATGCTCAGGAAGAACTTTCATGAACATTACATAAAATATGAGGCTCTTTAAGTATCAATTTTCTTTTCATCCAGAGTTCTTGGATAAATTAATAAAGCATTTAACAGCCATTAATTAAGCAGGGGACATTTTAAGCAAAGAAAAGATAAACTTCAAGTGGGCAAAACTGTGACAGCAATTCAGAAAAGTGAAGTCGCTGGAGTGAGCACACCAGAGATTCATCCGGATGATCACGTATCTTGCTACAGGTATCACCAACCTATATTTAGCCACCTTCTGGAAAGACGGTTCACTGATACCAGCTAGATCAGCACAGGAATTTGTTTGATGTGCTTAAGAGATTGGTAACAATAGCTCCTAACGTGACTGCGTTGCGAGGTGACAGTGTTTCCTTGGAGACAGTGAATCCATACAGCCCCAGCCAGGATCCTTGCAGGTTACCTCTCCAGAGGATGTAGAACTACCTCTCTATGCAGGGACAAAGATGGGAAGATAAGCTTTGGCTGTAGACAAATAGCCTTACGCAAGATGTGAGGATTTTATGAAACAACAAGACATGTCTGAAAGGTAGGAGGGTGAAAGAAGAGAAGTAACTGTACTCATTGCACAGCTGGCTTGACATGCTTTGACAACGAAGATAGTGTTACAGGATTAAGTATCTTTTTAAAATGTACCAACCTGTATTGCTGATGGAGATTGTTGTGCAGTGAAAACAGGAAGAAAAAAAATTTTTTTTTATATCATTGGCTGATTACTGAAAGACTAAAGGTATCTCAACAAAAATGTGTAATTTGTTGTAAAAATGCCTGAAAGGCACATTGATTGAGATGTGGAATTTGTATCATTGCAAGTTAGATCCATGAAGAGCTGCACGGAATGTTAGTTAATATGCTAGGAATGTATAATTATGGTGATAAGACTTAATTATGTTAATTATGTCTTTCGGGGGGGGCAATTTTATGATGCATAAAGCAAGATAATTGATGATACAGCTAACAGCAAGGATGCATTGTAACCAGAACTTACAGGTGTGTTTATCACTAAATTATGCTCAAACTGGTTCAAAATATTGCATAATGGCTCATAAAACTTCTATAAAAAAAGTAATTGAAAGGTAATAGAGCATGGAAACACTACGTCCAAGTCCTCTACTATTTTAAGTTCAGAGAGTTTTCATAACAAATGTTTGCATACAAGCAACAGCTGCTACAGATCAGTAAATTGTGTGCATTCCGAACAAAGCACAGCCTGAATTCCGAGTTTGCTGTCTTCTAAATACCTATACAAATTGAGTTTGTAAGTTAACCCTGCGGTTCATTTATGTTGATCATTTTTGGCATGTGCAATTGCCTGAGACAACATAAATAACTGAGTGTTTGTATCATGCGCGCAAACAGCTATTTGTGCAAGTGGTCTGGACAGATCCATAACCAGCTCTCTTAGAGCCTGTGCAAAACCACCAGCTCTGACCTAGATATGAGATCTCCTCTCTTTGGGAGGGTTTATTGCCATTTTCTTCGTTTGTTTGCATTTTTTTTCTTAAGGATGATCTTAAAATACATGAGATTTGGTTTTTGTAGAATGGTTCACTTCTATAGTAGCAAGAGCATGGAGCACTTTGCTGTTAAATACCAATCTGACCAGACTTCCACAGGAGCATGGGCCGTTCCGTCATCTATGTTCTGTGATTTGGTGGGATGTGAAGTGAGCACCGTAGGAGTTCTGACTCTGAATATGCGGAGGTGGTATTAATAGCCCTACTGGTTGTTCCCAAATCTTTTATCAGGGGCATTTCACATCTACAGGGAAAGCACCCATGGGTCAGTGAAAGCTAAGCCTGCTCAAGGTTGCTTGTTCATGAAAAGTAGCTGGGGATAAGAATACTGGAAGCTAGACCAGACTCCAAAACTGCTCACAACACTGGGACAAAAGCCTTTCAAATCCCAGTCACAAGAGTTTGTTTATAGCCTTCTTTATCCTTACTCCCACTGAGATCCATTTGTTTTTTTCTGTGAGGGAAAGCTGAACCTCTGCTGTAGAGTCTAGGATATTTGTTTATAGAGGCTGACAGCTATATCAGAAGAAAGGAGTCTTTTCACAGAATCACAGAATCATTCAGGTTGGGATAATCGAGTCCAACCCTCAGCCCTATTCTGCAAAGTTCTCCCCTACACCACATCCCCCAACATCTCATCTAAACGACCCTTAAACGCACCCAGGGATGGGGACTGCCCCACCTCCCTGCATCTCCACCTGGCACAAGGGTGCTTTGGGTAATTCTGTTTTCTTTTGCCTGACAGTCTTTTCTTAACAGCCAAATATCTAAAATAATGTACAGGAGAAATGTTTTTCTCTCAGAATATCTTTCACTGGTGTAGTTTCAGAAGTAGCTCAGCTATAGCTCTTCAAAGTATTTCATGGACTTTTAATATATTCTACCCATAAAGTCAGCTAGGCTCAAAGGTACTTGCACTGCAGTTAGGAAATCTGCAGCATTTTGTTGCCTATAAAAACGTTGCCAAGATGTCAGTGGGAGGAGAAGCAGACCCGTTTCACGGACACACTGACTGACACTGACATCTTGATAAAGTGTGAGTTTTGTCAGTGAACTCTATAGAAGTGCCTGATTTTCCAAGATATGGCCTGATACCCCATAAATCATGTTTTGAAAAATACAGTAGCTGCTCTGTACTCATTCCTTCCAGTTTACAAAATATTTCAGCCACTTAATTCCCCACTGGGACTTCCACTGAGGAAAATGCATAAAACACATTGGGTTAATCATGAGTGCCCCCACGCTCCCTGTTACCTCTACTCAGCTCATACGCAACACTCTAGATTTCAAGGTGCTAGCAAAGGATTGCTTTCTACAATTTCTTTAATTATTTAGATGAAATGGCTATTTTATATATTTCAATGAATGATTTTTATATATTTCAGTGATGCATGGAACAGATTTCCCTGAGCTTTTTTGAAGTGATCAGAAGTCCTGCTATTTCAGAGCATGCTTTAGGCACTTCAAGTGGGATCCTCCTCATCACGCTTCAGATGTCCTGAAGTGGTGTCCACTCTCAGGAAAGCCTGTGGGCTCCTCATGCAGTCGGTGTGGGCTGGGGTTCACTCCAGATGAAAATAACAGGCATGGAGGGCGGGTTGAGTAAGTGAGTGTGTGGACATGCCGCCTTGTCTCCACTGACTGTAGAGGGAGCCAGGAACATTTGCTAAGTCTGGTTTTGCAGGCTGACAACCCCAGCTAGGTGGGAAAAAAATCATACTTTAACCAGATGGAGCTTTTAGATGTTTAATGTTGACTTGAGTATTCTGAAATTTTGTAGATGGATTTGATATCAGTGGCAAAGCTTAAACTATGGTACCAACAACCAGACTGAGGGCCAGCCTCAGAATTTAGAAGTTGGTCACACACAGAGTTCTTCCCCCTTACCATTTTAAGTTTCCTTTCCAATCCCCTTTTATAGCATTCTTAAAATATAGTCAAGTATCTTTGCTTAAAACACATCATAGATTATTCCCCCCACACACACCCCAAGAAGAGAGAGAGAGTGGAGGTATGCTATTGCCACAGAGGGTTTCCATTAGTGAAATTAATTCCCCTCTCATAAGAATTTAGGTCTATGATTTATGATAACCACCAATTTCTCACTGCAGGCAAAGTGAGAGGAAATGACTCAGCCTGGACAGACATCATGAATCTAATTTTTTTCCCCCTAATGCTTGACATAATCTAGTGTGCTGCTCCCAGAGGTGTCATTGGAGATTCATATCCAGCCGAAGGGCCTCACAATCAAGGCAGAAAATGTTGTTACTTTCATGTATTCTGTGATCTGTAATTGTTTGGAATTGCGTCCTGCCTCATTCATTACCATTTCTTTTTTATCAATTTTGCAGCAAAATAGTAAGGAAAACAAAGCAAGGGAGAGAAAAGTGGTGCTGCACTTGCTCCTTCAGAAAAATCTTCTGTGACATAATGATAGGGTCCAGCTGGTGCTTATTAAATACAGTTTTGAGATGAAAAATGTTTCCTTCTTTCACTCTTTCCAATAGAAATCTCACTACCCACCTGATTGGAGAAGTCTTATCTATCACATATTGATTCTGGAACTTTATGTTTTATTTTCTATTACCAATACAGAATTTTGTGAGTGGGTTTCTGCCAAAAGATCAGAATAGATATCATGGTAAATGGTTCAGCTAAAATGTTTTATCCCACGTTTCAAGGGATTAGAAGTGTATATTCATGTCTCAGCAGAGGAGGTAGTTTCTAGATGGGAAGAAGGTTATGAAAAGTCTTGCAGTTATAAATAGTCATTTGAATCCATCCTAACAAATTGCTTTCCAAAACTGAAAAGCATTACCAACCTTTTCTCTTAAATATAATAGAATTTCTACATATTTCTCTGGTATGACCTCATTTAACATACAAAGAAGCAGAACGAAAACAAATAGCAAGATAGGGCTAAGCAAGAGTTCCCAGAATTTTATTTTTTTTTTTTAATTGACCAAATGTAAACCCTCTTTTCACAGGGTTGCTGTGTGTGTGAATGCCTGCTGATCTGTAGCAGCACACACACATGAAAATGGGCTGACCTCTAAAAATGTCTAAGTATATAGCAGTTATTTCCAGAAATGCTGATCTTGCTCAGCTTCCTTTAAGTCATCTACGGTTTATTGTAGCTGATTTGATCCTATTAAAAAAAAAAAAAAAAAAAAAAAAAACAAACCACACCACCATAAAGCATGAAGGAAGGAGCACTTTCGTATATCAGTACTGTTCTGTGCGATACGTATGCGCTTCCAGGCAAACACCAGGAACGATGTAATACTGGCTTTTGCTGATGTTTAAAAAAGACAAAACAATCCTAGTAAGGTCAACAGTATATGTCTCTTCAGGATTATTAGCCAATAATATGTAATCATAAGTTTTAACTGATGTTCTATTTAGCTTGTCTGTTACACTCAATATGAAACTTTCATTACCATCCTCACTAGACCATTTTAAAACTGCATTTTTATTCTCCATTTCTGCTCCTGACTATAATTGTTTTAATGATGCTTACTGACAGCTGATACTTTCTGGCAAGCTCTCACCAAGCTTGTACAGTAAAAGTCAAATTATAGTGCTGTATGCACACGCTTACTAAATTAAAATATTTTTTTTTAAAGTATTCCATGGTAAATTTCTAAATTGCAGCTGCCTGTCTGCAAATTATTCAGTCTCTCTGAAGCACAATTGGAGAAACTGTATCATTTGGGGTGTAGAAAATGTACTTTTGAAATTGTTCTTAGGCAATGAACTACCAGAGCACACAAGCACATGACTTCAAGACTCTATCGAATAAACTTCAACTCTTCTCTGGAGCCTCGATATTCTACTGAAACATACTCAAGGGATTAAAATAAATATGCAGTAGAGGTACCTTTTCATACACCCTGGATCCACAAAAGCAGGGCTATAGAGGGTAGAAGGGGACATAGCATGCTCTTGAACAAGTTCAGTTCTTCCTTTTCTCCAAGACCAATTATTTCTAACAAACTGCCAGTAAGTTCCTCTGTCTAATGTTTGGACACATCTGTGAAATCCTCATACGTGTAAGTAAACTGTACTTAGGCAAAAGGTCCCATTGAGGGACTAGAGGGGATTTCCTACGGTTTGACCTCAGGATCATGTGGCTATTGTCTGGTGGTAAATCCTACTCCTTGCTACTCTGTTTTTTCTGTTATAAACCAGTTTGCATTTCTCTGAACAGAATCGATTACTGGTTTAACATTTCCTCTCCAGTTCCTCAGGTCTGACTACCAGCAATCAGAAATTCTGGAAACCCTATTCCTCCTGCCGCTCCGTCCTAAGTGATACACACGCTATTGCACCAGTCTTCTCACAGAACAGAGGAATCGCCAGGCAGAACTGTGATTCTGGGCTGCTTTCCCCAGTAAGTGTTTGGTTTATAGGTCTGCTTACAAGTTGGTAGAAAAGAGACACTGACAAAGAGTAACTAAGGCAGAAATCTCTTCCTCAGCTTTGAAGCTGATTACGTTTTGTCTCCTTTCATTTTCCAAAGCTAGGTCAGATTATAAATAAGATTATATGATATGGTGTCAGCTGTGGCATGGGATTTGACTCAGCCTTTAAGCACACCGCACAGAACTGGAGGCAATGGGCAAGTATAAGTCCTGAAGAGGTTGTGTATGTTTGCTATAAAATGACATAACCAGGAGTGCTCTAAGAGGTGACAATACAGATATTCTGCGAGATCTCTCGCTGATATTTTAACCTATTTGTGGAAGTAAACCAGAATGGGCTGTGGTACCCTGCACCTAAACTGTGAATTCCCACAGCATTTATCAGCTTCTGGAGGTGGCTCCACCTGCAGGGGATGAGTCAGAGGTGTCTGCTCCATCTCTCCCCCTTCAAATCCACCATCAAGGCTTCCAGAAATGCAGGAAGTTCAAGCAAATGCCCAGCTGCATTGCCCTGAGAGGTTCCCCCGTGGTAGGCAGTCGTGGTGCTGTGTCCATTGGGCAGGACACAAATCACACCTCCTCCACAGACTACAGACAGAGTTAGAGACTTTGGTCCTCGCTCCCTCCTGGGAGATCTGGAAATTATGAAACATGTTGTAGTGAAAAAGCAAAATGGGCAGAAACCTCATATTCTCAACGGCAGTGGTAGGTTTTCTGTATGAAGATTTAGTGCCTCAGTAGCATTCAGGATATATTGTACGTAAGCTTGTCCAGAAATGAGTTTACATATGTATGCATACACAATGCATGCCATTGTATCCTCACTTCCACACATCATTTTGCTATTCACCAGATGGCATTAAGGCAGAAAACATTGTAAGCATGTATGAATGTTATTTCTACTGTAATAAGGCCAGAAATATGAGAAAATACAATGCCAGAAACTGACAAACCTTAACCAATTCTTTTATATCTTTTTTTTTTTTTTTTTTTTTTAAGCTTCCTTCTGATTCCTTCAAGTATCTTGGCTGGTGTGACATAGAAGAACATGATGTTCGAGGAAATCAGCTTCATTGTCCCCGAGTGAGAGAAGGTAAAGATCAAAAAGACATATTCATGTTTAAGCCTTAACTCTATTTACTCAAACCATATGTCCTTAAATGTTATGAGCTTAAATAATGGAGTCTGCCTTTGTTTTGAAAAGGGGCAGGATTTCATCCCATATTGTACATGCTTACTTTTTTTAATCACTAGGAAAATACCCTTCATAATTCTGAAAATGGGAAACAAAAGCCAGAACTGTAATTTGAAAATTTTTAGTATTAATGTGCTGTCAATTACTGCTCTCTGAAGTTCATTAACATGTAAATACTATTCAGAATGCAATAACAATATGCCCAACAAGAAACCAAGAGTGAAATCCAGTCCTGCAAACAGTGGCACATATATTTTATTTTAAGACTGAGTTGGCCCAGTTGCAATCTACAGACACTCAAGAATGGAAGATGGGTTTTAAAATCCAGTGTTTGCATGTTTGGTTCTAAACAGTGGAAAAATTCCACACTGTCTCTTCTTTAGTAAGGAATTTAAAGATATCCATAGCTCTAAACATTTCAGTAGACCTTAAGGCTTTAAGTCTTCAGCATGTGTCGTTCTTAATACAAATGAGGTTTTGAATGTGACTAATGACCAGTGGCAGTTGTTGTCAGTGGTCTGGAAGTTACAAACATATCCCTTTCTCAGGACAATTAAAGGCTAAGTACATAACCGCTATATAAATTCATAGCATGTGAAAGAACATATAGAAACAGTACGTTAGAACTCAGATGCTTATGCTCAACCATTTAGAAAAAGCTTTTATTCTGAGCTGTAGAAGAAACTTCATTTACTAACCATGTACCAAATCATCACGACCTTAGATTGCTTGCTGAATTATGAGCCCAGAAATGGTAGAAAAATCTTCACATTAATTTACATCTTAGTAGCCTGCAAACCTACACACCTATAATATTATATATATTTCTCCATTTCAGATACCTTCCCAGCCATATATATAATCTTTCAGCAAGTTACTAAGTGCCAGTTCCACATCACATCCACTATTATAAATCTTTTTTTTCTGACCAGGGCCCTCAGAAGAAGAGCTGTTTTTCAGAGGAGAAGAACATACTTTGAAAAAAAGAAAACAAGTAACTGACACAGAAAAGTGGCAAAGGAAGCTGCAAGAGAACTGGGAAAACTGTGCTGTAAAAGTTTCTCATTAACATTTTGTACAGTAGTGGTAAATAAGCCAAATAATAATGTGCTGGCTGCTCATTGCAGTTAGCAGTTTTTAAGCTCTGGTTGGCACCATGACACTGTAAAACAGAAGGTTTTTTTTACAAGCTGGAACACTGGAATATGCTGTTATTTGGGTTGTGACCCAAAAGAGTAAGCTCTTGTGTTGTGACAGGGCTTTGTTAGTGCTCAGGCATATAAGAATGAGTGACATTCTTTGCCTGCTTAGTGCCGTCTTCAAAAATTGATAATACACGAATAGCTAGAAAATGGAATATTTTCATTTCAGCTCTATCACTCCTTCCTCATACCAGCCTGAGCAGTTCTATTGGCTAGAGGTACTGTATTATTGCTGGTCTGATCAGTGGTAAGTTACAACCTCCCTAAAATCAAGGAGGAAGCCGGGTAGTATCCTCATCTAACACAGACCCAGCACTCTGGGTCACGCCTCTCCTTATGCATAAACACACCATACAGACTGGAGATTATTGGTATCTGGCTGCTGCACAGCACTATTGTTCCAGGTGAGTTTAGAAGCCAAACCAATAAACCACAGTCAGTCCTGCTTTCTCCACCCAGAGCACACACACTGTCATCCCTCTGGACAGTGAGGTTCACATGCTTAAGTGATGGTTTCTTTCTTCTTTACTTTGAAAGAATCGCACAGTGCACCACTATGATTCTAAGGTGAATTTGGCAACTGACACCACCAATTGTATAAGAGCAGCATAATAAAACAGATTCGCCTTTTAACTAATTCTGACATTGAAAAGATTTAATGATACAGTTATTTTAGAAAGCAAGAAACAAAGAGAAAAGTTTTTTGTCTTATTTTTCCCTTCCCAGGAGTTGAACCTTTCATTTCAGGACCTGGGTGATCTTTACCAGGTGGAAAACTTCAAAAGGATTCTCCAAAAACTGATTCGGGTGGAAAAACTTTGGTTGGTGGACAATTCTTTGACAGATCTAAGTGCCATAAGGTTGCCAAGGTATACAAAATGCCCTGTTTCTGTTTTTATGTAATATCATAGAAATAAAAATTTTATTTAAGTAATAGCTGGAGCAGACTCTTGAGAACTTGAGAACTGCCAAAATATTATATTTTGGGGAGTATTATATTCAGAATCCATCAGTATATTGCTATTCTGAGTTCATGTCATCCCCAAATTGAAAATATCCTGCAAGGAGATCAGATGATTTCCCCTTTATTCCTGGTGAATAATTAACCAGTCTTGTCAAGTTCAGTGGTATTTGTTCTGAAAGAGAAATTTGTTCAACACTGAAGGAATCTATATGAAGAGATGGTGGAACATAACCCAAGCAGAGCGGCCAAGCGTGACCATGACAACTATAGTTTTACAATCAATTTATTGCTAGTGTTGTCGTATGTCCAGATATATGGAAAGTTGTAATACTGAGAACAGGAAAAATGATGTATCCATTGTACAATATAAAGAAATCTGAGAGTATAAAGTGAACAGATATGATCTCGCCATCGATGAGTAGGCAAAAATAGCACAAATGAAAAACCAGTGTGAAAGCAGGTCTTGAGAAATCAGCTTCTTGTATTTCTCATTGGAAGCCTCGAGTGGCCATGATTTCAACCACGTGAAGAGCCATCCCTGTGTTGACTTACAGGTATATGCTATTACAGAGGTGATCAGTGATGTCATATGCTCTGTTCTTTACAGATGCAGAGAACTAAATGTCAACAGAAACCACTTTACATCCTTCAAACAGCTGCCAAAGGTACCTCAGATTCAGCATTTATCACTTGCGGAAAATAACATTCTGACACTAAGTGGAATATCAGACTTCAGACATACTCCACTTGAATCCCTTATACTCAAGAGGAATCCCTGTGAGTTTCAAGAAAGATACAGACAACTGTAAGTCTTGCCATCTCACAGCCAACCAAAGTCCATCGACACAAAGACATGTTTGTGAGAGGGTTCAGAAGGAATAGAATCTCAAATACAATAAGCATATAATAAACAAATACAATAAAAACAACCTTTTTATTTTCCTATAGTCTCAACTGTCATAAATGCTCAGGAACATGGACTGATGAGGCAGTGTCTGATAACAGCCACAGAATATTCAGAAACTGCCTAGGAGGCTTTCTAATCACATGACTGGCAGTTCTTGAGCTGAACTAAGTCCATGGATCAAGTTTAGAGACAGTGAGTAGGGCAGATAAATTAGATTCCCTTTTATTAATAGGAACTACCTATTATTCAAACTCTCTTCAGTCTTATTGCATCCTTCGTGTATTCTGAAAAGAGTTGAAATTGCATTACATGTCAGAGATGGAATCAGAAGGATGTGTTGAAAAATTGGAGCTAAAGGAAAAGCGAGTTACCTTCATTTGGTTTTTCTGGGTTCTCTCCTCTCTCCGTGGCAGCACTGTGGATGTTACACTGCCTTGAACACCCCACTCGGTGTAGGTACATGTTGCAGGCAGTGCAGTGTAGTGTAGACTTAACAGAGCTGCCTTGGGCACTGGAAATAAAAATCCAAATCTGAGATAGAGAGTTCAGGGGAAGATAATCTAAGTCTCATGCATGTTTTGACACTTACACCCCTAACATACTCTTTCCCAGTTGCTTTGACTCCAAAACCATATTGCCATGAAAAAAATTGCACACAGGTTGGAAAGTTGGAAGCGTGTTCCTTCTGAACTCTTCAGAAATCTGCATGGTTGCATGTTTTTTCCCCATTACAGAGTCACATCAGCCATCTACAGCATTGATATTTTTGAGATAAACCTTACAGCATGTGTCTAAAAAGTCATCTCTTCCTGGGAAGGGAAAAATAATAGAAGTTCAAAAGAAAGTCTTTAACGAAAACCTTTAATAGAAACCTTTAACAAAAGCACAAAAAGCTTTGCAGGGAGCAGTTTCTTCATCACAGAAGGATAAAAAGTTGAGTTGCATTTCTCTCAATCTGAATCTTTGCTCTTCAGCAGTCTAGGAAATTCAGTCTAGGTTAACACTGTGTCCTCTCTTTTGCGTTAGACAACTGGTTTGATTCTATAGAAATGTAGATGCTTATAGATACTTGTAGTTCTTTACTGAGTCTAGGATATAAAACTTGTGCAACAGAGTGAAAACTGAATATTTTTAATTAGCTTTTTATCAGATAAATTCTGCAACAAATGACAAATGACAAAAACATTTCCAGCAATAGAAATCTATTCTGGATAAGTTTGAAGCTGCTATTTGTTTTTTCTCGCTGTCTATTTTGTTCTCAACATTTCGCAAGGTGATTTATCTCAATTTCTGTTTTTCTTTTGTCTCTCTTTAAGTGTATTCTCCAGTTTGCCAACTTTGAAAATGCTGGATGGCATCCCAAAACTGCCAGAGGACTGTTCAACCCCAGATATCAGGGGTTTTGTCAAAATGTGTACTATACTCTAGCGCTGTATTTTTGTAGGATCCCAGACATGCTAGAGTCACCTCACTTAAAAGGTACAATAAATCTTGTATATGGAAGTTACTGTATTTTGTTATCAAAGAGATATGGAAGCAGAAATATAATTATTTTGAATGCATTTGTGATACTGCAGACTTCAAGTAAGTATTGATTAGTGTCATGTAAATAAGACATAATGTGTATGCTGAGTGTCATGAGTTTGTTGTATTAAAAATATTGGGTGACTTTCTTGTCTAGGAACTCTGTGTAGACAACAATTCACAATTATTGACTCCCACTGCATTTACTTAAAATATGTCCAAGTTCAGACCACATGTCCGTTATTGGAAATGGAACGTGGATTAACATCCAGGATGAAGGAGAGAAGAAAAAAAAAAACCAAACACAAAATTAAAGAACAGGCTATGCAGTTCTCCCCTTTATGTCCCACTACTGTCCTAGTATTCTTTAATGTACTTTGTAGATGGGAAACACAGACCCATCCCAATCATTTTTCCACGTCAAAATTTTTAAAAATAATGAAAAAAATCCTTGCTTGGGAATTTGGTATGGCTAAGAGCATTGGGGAGGTAAATCACGACAGAGGAAAGAAATCTTTCGACTTGTTGCTGGTGTTGTTTAGGAATGTTTTGTTTCTTAATAGAGGTTCCTCAAACCAGAGCCACAATGAGGGAAAAGAGCTGTGGAAGCTGAAAAGGGATTTGTAAGGACTCCCCAGGATATCTGAATACAATTATTTTGAGAAGTATCTGTCCTTGTCTTTGATTCATTTGCTGTTCAATTTTAGTTTTCCAGGCAGCTCATACTGACTCACAAATAGCTGTGCCACTAATGGTTCAGGAAAAGAATGACAGAGTCCTGGAAAATGAAGACAATTAACAGAATTGCCTAATTTCAGAGACAGTCAATAAATTCTCTGCTGTGCATTGGCTGCAGGCTCGGTTTGGTTCAGTTACAGGGGGAGGAGTAATGACTGCTCAGCCCTGTCGAGCTCTGCAGTGCAATGACTTAGCAGCAGAAAGGTCGCAGCAGCTCTGTATAATGTCTCTATTGGATTCAGGCAAGAGAAATGACCACCCTGAAAAGCTTCCAGGCTCTCCCTTAAGACTGTTCCTACATTTCCCGCAGCCTAGCAGTCAAAACGGTTGATCAAAATACTGCATGAGCTACATCACAGGATTTGGAATGTATAACAGTTATCTAGCTCAGAGTATTTTCAACTGCTGTGAAAGGAAAAAGACAATGGGCCACTGCAAAGAGGTGTCAGGTTGAGGGCTCACACTTAGGAAATACTCTTGCAGTTCACAGAAGCTGGCCAGTTCCTTCCCAGTATTGCCATGCTCACAGGGTTTGATAACTAGATCCAGGCGTTGTAGTCCGCCCCGGCAATGGGAACAGACCACACTACCACAAACCCCTCCATAAACATACACAGCATCCAGAGGGTGCAGTTCAACACAGCAACAAGCTCCTACAGATTCGGAGAGAGATGACGTTGTTTACACAGAAACAACAAGGCAACCAGAGCTTTGAAACAGGAAAAGCAGAACACTGTGTGCTGTACAGCGTGGCAAAGTGGGCCAGAGGAGCCGGAATCTTTCACGCGGGGAAGATAACAGAAAACCTGAGAGCTTTCTGAGGAATGAGGCTAGTAGTCAGCCTCAGATCTAGTATTTAGTCTACCCAGATACCGTATGATACAGTATCCAACATAAAGCCCCCACTGTGGGTTTGGGAACGGAAAGGGTAAAAACAAAGGATGAAATTTATTATTCTTAACTGAGGGTGCATGTGAGAAAACACCATCTCCTCAGAAGCAAGGCAGAGAGAAAAAGCAGAGAGGAGACAGAGCCTGTAGTACCACCCTCACTGCCCCGGGCAGAGACAGCCAGCAGTGAGCAGCTCGCTGGGACTGCTGAGCCTGGAGACGGGAAAGGGAAACGGTCTTTTCCTGAGGTATCAGACACTAAGGAGCATTCAAATCAGCCACGTTCGCGTTACATTAAAAAGCACTTGAGGACTAGGCTCTCTTCCCAGAATTTGGCATTAGAAAATGAGACTGAGATGGGAAATCACTCCAGTCCCATGGGTTGACATTTCAGTTACAAGCTCCTACCACCCACTTCTTGCACATGAAATTAGGAGCTGGTCGAGTCTCTCCTAGGATCACACTCAGAGACTTTGCTCTTCAGACCTGAGTCCTGGGTCAGCCACAAGAAAGAGGCACAGACAGTGATTTAGTCTTTCCAGACAGGAAGCTGGTTCTACTCTCATAATTTTTCCTTTCATTGTTTTAATGCTCTGGCTTTGGAATCCCAGAGAAATATGAGGTAATACCTAGGGACCCTTACGGATTTTATTTAAAGTGCATCCAGGAGCAAGAATGTACTGGTGAGATGTTTGAGTCACTTTGCTGCAGTGAGATTTAACTGAGATGTTCACTATTAGCAATGTCACATGGGGAACAGGGAAAAAAGAGCAATTAGGTTCCAGCTGGTTGACTGGGCAGCAGCCACAGACCCAGGAAGCACACTGGCTACATTGCAACATTACCAGTCAACTAGAAATCCCACCAGCAGGAACCTTCTGAAACTGGCCTGAAGTTCATGCCAAATCAGGCGTAAATTAATACACATTTTGGGTTCTCAATTAGACTATTACTATCTAACTTCCTTTTCCTGCCAAATTTACACTCAGCTTCACTCAAGAAAAAAATGGACCTGCAGCAAATTACTCTCGAGTTTTACTCCCTTGCTTTTCCACAGTTACATTACAGAGTGGCCTAATCTAAACCTAATCTATGACTTCAAGAAAATCTGGAAGGAATGAAACAGAAATATAGCCTTTATTTTGCTAGAGCTTTTGAGATTTCATCTATTGTGATTTCACTCTGAAATTAAAATAATAGCTGCCACCTGTGAGCTCCGTATCAAAGTATCATGACATCAATTTCCAATTATTCACAAAGATTCCTTTGAACTTGACGTTTCATGAAAATTTAACAAAGTGTTCCCAAAGTCTTGCCTCACATCGTGGGACAAGTTCCAGGGGTGACAGACTTCAGAACTGAGTTCCCAAGTCTCATTTTAACTGTCTCTTTATTTCTCGTTATGTCTAAATTTCTCAATACAAAATAAAAAGCAAGCAATATCAAATCAAAAGACAGATTCTTTAAATGAACAGAGAGAAGACAAGACTTTTAATTAATTAATTTTTAATCCATTTATCATAGTCCCAGGAACTCCAGAGAAGGGTTTAAAAAATCTCTAAGTATTACAGTACATGGGTCATGGAAGCAAAGTTGTAATGAAGAAGAAATCATCAACCACTGATGAGCATTTCAAAGAAAACTGTTTGCTCATACACACATTAACCTTGTAGAACGTGAAGCACAAACACCCTATGTTTATATTGGTCAGAATTATTTAAATCACTCAGGAAATAAAGACTTTGAGCCATTATCCTGCTCCAGGACCGTGCGTTGCAGCACCAGTACTAGGTGTGAACACAGCGAAGAGGAAAGCAGTGGCTTTCCTTGCAAAAGGAGACCTTGCAAAAATGTCTCATGCTGTGAGAGTGCATCAGAGGCAAATCAGAGCTGATCAGTTAAGGCTGTAATTCATCATCATGTATGTTAATGCTCAAGCCCAAATTTATACACCTCTATGGAGTAAATAACATCGATGATTCCCAAGTTTAGCCTGTGCTGGAGCACAAAACGGTTATAAGGACATCCCAAGTGACTTCCTGAGGTCCTTGTCAACTCTCAGGTCTCTGTACCTGTAAGAACTGTGCCTGACACGCTTTGCAATGCGTTGTGGGGAAGGATCTGGGTGAGGTGGTGGGTCGCGGTGCTTGCTGCATCGCCATAAACCACGGAGGAGCAGGCACTGAGGGCTGCACATGGTGCTGCATGGCAGGCTCTGCTTCGGCTGTGGCTAAACACGGTCTAGCTCTTCCTCCAGGGACTGACTTGCATGTCCCTGTGGCCAGGAAGGGGATTAGTTTTCTCGTGTCTGGCTTCTGTTCCTGGTATCTGTGTATCAGTGATGCCAGCGCAGCGGTGCTTTCAGCACTTGCGTATTCCCTCACCGAACACGAGTGACTACCAAAACCCTTCTAGCATTAAATTCAACAGCGAAACTTCCAGCGACTTCAAAGCTGCAGAGACACAGCTTTATTCTTCTGTGTGGAAGGAAGCAAACTCCTCACAGATCAGGGATCGGGTTACCAAAAAGGGCATTATGAGGCTGTTAACCTTTGAGAAGCAGAACACTCTCCCCTTTCCCTGGAGAACCTCTTTTTGAAGATCAGAGTATATTCATTTGTTTTACCATTTCCTTCCTGACTGATTAAAATCAAATACTTTCTGGCCTATGTAAGGCAGCTTTCGATCACTGCCACTTAAATTTTGCCATTCAATAAAGAACCTTCAGCATTTCTTACGATTTCCTTGCTCTCAGCACTGAAAGAAAAAATGAATTTAGAGAATACAGTGACTGATGTTTTGATCTATTTGGATACATGTATGAGACATGCAGAGGCACGCTGGCAGGAAGCATGGGTGGAAATAAGCTATTAAGATGTCCCAGAGCATTCATTTTTCATTTGCAATCTATCATCCAGGATACATTTGCTTTGGAATTGCCAGGTACCATGCTACATTATGTAATTGAAAGCACTGAAGATAAGGAAAGGCGGCCATTGGCAACATATGCTTTGGATAAAAGCAGCTATAAGAATAAACCTAACGACCATAACAGGGACGAGACAAGCGTGGACAGTAACAAATTGGGAATGACCAGAAAGTTCATGAACAGTCAACCTACAGGAAATGGTCCAGTCAGCCTTGGGGAGTGAAATCCAAAGCCAATTTTTTTTTTTCTTTTTCATACTGATCATTTTATTTTTACTATGTGTTAATATGATATATTCCCCATTTCTACTCTACATACAGTCTATTTTCTTGCTACAATTACTCTTTATGCCCTGAGCACTGAGCTGGTTTGAGGATGGTCCTGTTAAGAGGCATGGATGATGAAGTCAGATGTGTCTTTGATGCAATTTTAATTTTATGTGTTAAAACTTACAAAGTTCCATTTTTCTGAACTCAAGGAAACTCAAACAAGGGACTGCATCTGTGCTCAGGGCTCCAACCCCTTTTTCAGTCAGTACTTAGCTCTCACCTTTTCTCAGCATTACATGTCTTTGAGCTTTACTTTCCTGGGTTCTAACTTGCTTCTTTTTCCATCTTAGCTCAGTCACACTCTTGTGGCTGCAAAGACCTGCCACATGTTGAGCTACAGCTTCCCACCAGCCCAAAACTCTAGCCCAGGGTGTTGCTTGGGCTGCTGCAGAGCTTTCTTTGCCTCCCAGACCCAGCTGTTCTCTCCTTGCTCGTGTCTCTGGTCCTGCCCTGCAGGTTCGCCCAGTTGCACCTTCAGGTCCACCACTGCATTTGGTATGTTTGGCATCACGCAGGCAAAACAAAATTGGCGGTGGAGCAAGAAGTTCTGTGGGTTTAAATAAGTCAAATGACATCCATTCTGTATGAGCTATCCCTATTTAGCTTTAAAAAGCAGAATTCTTCATGAGGACAGATCTCTAAATCAGGGTACATTATAGAGGAACGTGTTCAGCTTGGAGGACGTTTGAAATCAGCAGTGTCTAAAAGACAAAGAATAAGGAGCTTAGACTACTGCATTTCTTCACTCAGCTTAAGGTTTTACCACTGGTTCTAACTTGAAGTATTGGCAGTCTCTTTTCCTCTGCTATTTTTTTTTTTTTTATCTTCCTTTAAACATTACAACTGTGATTATAAAATCACAGCTTAAGTTCAGAAAAGTAGATATATGCCTGTAGAGAAAATGGAATATAATGTTAATTCTACAGAGGGAAGTGCTCAAAGTGCTTATCATGTCCCATGCCACAAAGATTAGATTAAAATGTCCTAAGATTTTACTGTGACAATATCACACTCAAGCACTCTGAACCAAAAACCTCACAGAGTGCCTAATTATTATATTCGGTGCCTAATACTTGTCAGCTTGAAGGTGCTAGAATAAATCCAGGACAAATTTCTCTGCAGATATAATCCCATTTATTCTAGCTGGGTTTATTTACACCACAGATATCTG